TTTTTTTTTTTTTTTTTTTACTTCCTCAAACTGAACATTTCACAGTATTTTACTGTAAAATTACATGTAAAGTTTTTATTATTAAACAAGTCTTATTATTAATGTTAAAAACATCTGCTCTGGTTTAGGGAAACAAGTAACTTTTTTTCAGGATTCTTTGATGAATAGAGTTCAAAAGAACATCCTTTATTTGAAATAGAAATCTTTGGCAAAATTATAAATGTCTTTACTGCCACTTTTGATCAATTTAATGTATCCTTGCGAATAAAAAGTATTAATTTCTTAAAAAGACTCCTACAATTCTACTAGGAAAAAAAACTCTTACCAGTAGTTCCCTTATGCTGTATGGTGAAAAACTGTAGTTGACCTAATGTAATTTTACAGTAAAATATTGTTAAATGTTAAATTTTTGGAAGTGAAAATGTGACGATCCAGTGTGCATTCCCAAAAAAGAGGTCATCTTATAATTTACACATAGATATTCTGGTCTCTAGATATGAACCAGGTCTTTATGGAAGCCTGTAAAAAATCTATTAAAAAAGTAACTGTGACTTTATATCTCACAATTGCAAGCTTATTTCTGTCGTATAACCGTTCTTACAGTCTACAAGCCATATAAATGGCTCACTAATGTAAAAAACTGCACTGATGGGTCCCACATGTTTAGTAGCAATAATACAGGAGAGTAGATGACAGCTACTGTTCTTCAAGTACTTCATCCAAACTCTTAGTGAAGCTTTATAAAACACTTCCTCCACACAAGCAGGCATTTATGCTGATTAAGCTCTGAAGTGGCACAAGATTAAGTGGGCTGGTCAGAAGAGTTAACCTCTAGCTCTGAGAGCACAGCATTACTGATATTACATCAGCATCACAGACACTAAAGCCCGACTGACTCGCTCTACTGACTACTACAGACAGCTGCCTTCACTGGGATGAAACTAGATTAGTGTATGATAGGGAATGCAATTCATTTCAAAAGAGTTTTGCAATAGCATGTTGCTAAGCTAACAACACAATACTCTAGTAACTAGAGAAATACACAGAATACACAAAGATGGAGTACATTTTTATCAATACTTACAACATTTGTCCAGATTCATCTATCATTTTAGATTTATTTGCTTTCCTGCAAGCAAAGTACAGTTCTTTATAGGATTGGCTTCTCATGAAGGGTACATGCAATTCCATCTTAGAATTTGGACAAAAATACCATGGCATTAACACTACATTTACCATGTTTTGGGGCCTTAAATTCCAAAGTACACTACCCTTCAAACTTTTTTTGGTAAGAATTTTTAATGTTTTTGAAAAAAAAAAATCTCTTATGCTCACCACGGCTATATATTTATTTGATCAAAATACTATAAAAAAAACAGCAGTACTGTGAAATAGCTTATTTCTATTTAAATATAATTTAAAATCTGATTTAATCCTGTAAACTGAATTTTCAGCATCATTACTCCAGTCTTCAGTGTCACATCATCCTCAATCAATCATTCTAATTTGCTGATTTGATGATTAGCAATGTTGAAAGAACCGCATTTATTTCAAAGATAAATATTTTACATTATACATTATAAATGTCTTTACTGTAATTTTTTGATCAATTTAATACATCCTTCAAAAAACAAACAAAAAATATATAATAATGACTGCTTATAATTATGCTTATTATAATTACTGCTGATTAGGCTATATTAGAGTGGAGATGTTTTGTTTGTTGTGTATCAAACTTGGTAGAAACTAACCACATTAAATGCCACCATGGGCACCAAGTGCAAAATAAAAATAAAAACAAAAAAATTAAAAAAAAGTATTTTATTATAAAAAATATCTTACTTTTACATGGTGATTTTATATGACCATTTTAGCAGTGTTTGCTTGTCCCTTTATGTATAAAAATAGAAATCCTTGGCACTTTTTAGACATTTTTATGCCAGCAACCCAATACTGTAGTATCACATTATTACATATTATCAAATTACTTTTGATTTTAATTATTTAAAAGGAAAGAGCTAAATATATTCTCAAATAAATCAATAACAAAAGTCTATAAGGATATAAATCTATAAGGACAAATCTCAAAATAATTAACTTGGTATATTTTTAAATCAAGTGTACCTACATGTGAACTCTCAGGAAAAAAAAGGTATAAAAGTTGTCACTAGGGTGGTACCTTTTCAAAAGGCACAACTTTGTACCTAAAGAGTCCATGTTGGTACCTTAAAGGTTCATATTAGTATCCAAAGTGTACATCTTAGTACCTAAAAGGTACAAAAGTGTACCTTTTGAA